TGGTTCGCCGGTGGTTCGCCGGTGGTGCGTGGTACGCCGGTTTTACGCCGGTGGTTCGCCGGTGGTCCGGGGTGGCTGGTTTGAGTGGTTCGCGAGTGGTTCGCGGGTGGTTCGCGCCAGTGGTTCGTGGGTGGTTCGTGGGTGGTTCGGGCGTCTGCTGGGTTCACGGGAACCGCAAACAAGGACAAGGCCACAAACAGCCAAAAAAATAAAACCACAACCGGCGGAAATCACCCAGGCACCGCAAACAAGGACACAGTGTGAGAAAAGCAGCGGAAAAATTCACCCAGGCACAGCAAACAAGGACACAGTGTGAGAAAACCACTTTGCGGGCACCTCGGGCTGGGACATAAGGACACAGTCTCGCAAAAGGGAGTTGTCACCAGCCCCGCCGGCCCCAGCCAGCCCGCAGCCAGTGCTGATTCACCAAAGTCGTGGAAAATCATGCAAAGGTTTCAGGATGCCTCCAACTCGAGCTTGTGCCTCTGTGTCTGCATTTGGCATGGCAGCAGGTGGGACTCCGATGATTCCCCCGTTGGCGTCTTTCTCAGATTCATGGATGCTGTATGCCGAGAGATTGGTGCTTGCAGCCTCGCCATTCACAGTTTCAGGGCTCTGCGGAATTATTGGAACTTGAACTTCAGGCACCCTGGCAGCCCCCGGCAGTCCTCACAACTGTTGATGGATGTAACATGATGTAACCCAGTAGCTTAACAAGGACATACATCTTGGCTTTCAACGAAGGAAAGGTTTTTTTGAAATCAGGTCAGGCCTTGCCCTGAACCATCCCTCAGGCCTCAGGGGTTTTGAGTTTGGAGGTTAAGGGTTAGTTCCGATTTAAGGTTTGGGGCTATAAACCTAAACTCACTTGACAATCCATCTGCTTATCTTGAATATGTGTAGTCGAGACAGTCAACAACAGTAACACAGTATACAGCGCAAACCACTGCATGCTGCCAACCATGAAACTTTGGTCACGTGTCATCGATACCGACGCCGAGGATCTGGCTGCTGGCTCATCATCATACACAAAGGCACGTGTTGGGGCCCAACACGTATCGTGCATGCTGAGTTCGTTGTGATCTTGCTGTGATTGCTGTGTCAAGCAGAGAGGACAACGAGAGACACGGGAGTGGGTCCACCAGCATCACATGCCTTGAAGACTTGAAGATGATGCGTTTGCCAAGCTGCGGTTCTTCATCTGGCTCGACAGGAGCACGTTTTGACCTTTCATAGATCGATAGCAGCCGAATTCCCGTGACGTGATGCAGAGAGGTTTCTTGCTAGCTGCAGCGGAGAAGACCGAGAAGAAGAAGAGCGAGAAGAAGTCTGAGCCTGAGCCTGACCAGTCCGGTGTGGCCGTGACATCTTCCGTGGGCTATCGTGTCGAGAAAGAGCCCGGCATCAAGATCCTGAAGTTCGACTCAGATGTGGATGTGAATCTGAGCGACGTGGACGGGATGCTGAAAGTGTTTGCGAAGCCCTGTCAGAAGTGAGGCAAGCTGGGGGCTGGGGCATTCACAGTTAAGTCCCAAGGTGCGATCTTTTTGGCGCCTTGGGCATTTTGAGTTTTGGTCAAAGCGGCATCAGCCTGGCATCAGCAATCAGCAGAGATGTTGAAGAAAGTGCAGCAGTGCGTTTGCATTGTAATACTAAGCAGCGGCCTTTCGTTGAGAGCATTATTGGGCTGCCTGGCTTTCCTTAGCCTACCTTCCCAAGGCACAATAATCAGTGAATTTGATTCAATGATTCAATTGAATCGTACAGACCCAGCCTGTTGGGCTGTTGGCTGTTGGGCCTTTGTGTTTACTGTCTGCTCTGGGACCTCGGTCGGTCTGGGTCTTGATACTGCTACTGCTGATTTGCTTGTCCTTCTACTTACACCAAAGTGTACTGGAGACAGGGAGCGTATTCAAATAGCA